ATTAAGTAACTCATTATTTAAATTGTTGTGGAACTCGCCAACCTCACACCTCGCGATTAAGTCATCCTCAACCGTCATATTTTGTGAGGTTATCGTTGTCAGGTCTCCAGGTAAGGTGAGGTCGCCCTCTGTGGGTACATTGTGTGAGGTCATATAATTCACCCCCAAGTGTGATACCCCTTTTCTCAACCGCCTCTTCAAACTATCAAACTTTGCCCTTCTGAAATCTGGGACTTTAATGGAATTTTCCTTGCTACTACCCTCAAATTCTAATTGGAATCTTATTTTTTTGAGATCGCTGTTAGCAAGTTCGTTCTCTTCCTCGACATTACTAATGAGGTTTTCTCTGTTTGACAGAACTAAATCTAGTATATTATTACCCAGGGTGGGTTCGGTTGTTTGTTGACTTAGGAAAGAGGCCTGGATTGTCTCAAGAAAATCCTCTGATTATGAGTTACCTGTAAGGTTGATCCAATCTATTTGGCTGAAGTTAAAGTCGCCTACTATACAGACTTTACTATGTGTGGAAGCCATTGCACATTTCATTCCAAATAAGTCGCTCATTAACTCTATCAAGATTAGGGGGTCTATATATTACTCCTGTGTTTATTTTGTCCCTACCATCGGTTAATTCTATCCAAATTGTTTCTGTATTCTGCTCACTTTTTATTTCCTAATTTATTTCACACTTCAAATTATCCATGACATAGATTGCTACTCTGCCTCCTTTCCTAATCTGCCTATCGGTATGGAAAAATTTGTAACCTGCAATTTGGTTTCGACAGGTAACTCACGTGAGTCTAAGTTTATCCATGTTTCGGCGAATGCTATTGTATAGATTTTTTCGGTTCATACCAACTCCCTGATTTCATCCATTTTGTTTCTCATACTTCTACTGTTTGCATAGTAGACATTTAAGTGAGCCGTGTTCTGAGTCCTCTCTTTGACGCGTTTAGGTTTTGACTCCCTGCCTAATTTAGTTGTGTCATCATTCCTAGCACTGTTTCCCTGTAACCTTTCACTTTGTTTACCCGCTCCCACTACAGTCTCCCCCACCCCCCGTGCTCCCATGTTCCCCTAGCAGTTTAAAGACTTCGACATCTTTTGAACTGCCCTCTAGACCAGGGGTTCTTAACCTGGGGTCCATGGATGGGCTTCAGGGGGTCCGTGAAGGTCAGATAAAAATTTAACATTTATATTCACTATATTTTTATATTATGTTTTTCTATTTTTGTCAATATATTCCAGATGTTATGTACGTATTTTTGGTTACTGAAAAGAAAACCAGTAAATCTGTAGGGTGGCATGGGATGCTACTGTACACGGTCAGGTAACACACTTATTTCTCATTTTTCACTGTTTATCACGGCTTGGGAATCTTCTCATATGCTAGTAAGGCTTAACTGAGGGCCATATTATCTTCAAATACATACTTTTTCCTAAATATATTCAATTACCTATGGTTATGTTTTTGGTGAAGGTAGTGAAAGAGGGCCTTAGTTATTCTTACTACAGCTGTACCAGCCGAGGTTGGAGACCCCCGACCGCCTTCTGACCACAATTTCAGAGTGTGGCTGAAGAGTGATGGGTGTACAGTGTGTGAATATGTGTTTGTGCGTATGTGGGTGTATAGGGAGAAAGGCGCGTGCGAGTGTTGTGAAAACCAAGAACGGTTGGTGCGCTGTATTTATTTGTTTTATCCATTATTTACGACAAGTCTGTTATTATTTATTGGTCAAAGTTAGGGACTTGGTGCACGTAGTTAGAGTAGGGATGCATAAAAAAGAGAGAATGGATAAAGTTAGGGTCTTTTGCGTCAGTAGAGTAGGAAAACACGAAGTCATCAGTCAGTATCATTCATATATTTTCTGAGGGGAACCTTGAAAAATCCGTAATAGTGCTACTGAAAATAGGGTTATCTGTCTGTCTCTCTATCTGTCTGTGAAGGTTTGTCCGTCAGTCGGTCTGTCTGTCTGCCTTTCTATCTGTCGATCTGTCTTTCTGTCGGTCGATCTGTCGTGCTTATTAATTTGCGTTCATTAGTTACTGCTTTCCATATAAATTTCATAATTTTTTTTTTGCAGGCCTAGCTCAATTTGGAAATGTCAAAGAAAAGGAAGTACAACGAAGCTTACTTATCCTTTGGTTTTACTTTCATCGCTGAACGTGATGGAACACAAAAGCCGCAGTGTTTCCTGTGTGGCAAGGTTCTTGCCAATGGAAGCATGAAGCCAACAAAGCTGAAGGAGCACCTCACGTCTGTCCATCCTGAAAATGCATCGGACAGTGTTGATCTATTTCGTGCAAAGAAGGCTCGATTTGAGATAGCTGGAACTTTACCAAAACTTGGATTTGCCCCAACACAAAAGCCTTGTCTTGAAGCATCCAACAAGGTTGCTTATCGCATTGCCAAGCAAAAGAAGCCACATACGATTGGAGAGACCTTGGTAAAGCCATGTACCCTGGAAATGATCGAGCTGGTTTGTGGCTTGGAGCAGAGGAAGAAAATTGCAGCAGTTGACATTTCTTCTAATATTTTGAAGCAAGTAATGGAAGAATTGGAAGCTACGCCATTTCCATTCAGCATGCAACTGGATGAAACTACTGACGTCTCTCAGTGCAGCCAGCTCCTGGTTTTCGTCTGTTATATGCATGCTGATGCCATCAAAGAAGAATTCCTATTTTGTGAGCCCCTTTTGGAAACTACAAAGGCCGTCGACATCTTAGAAATGGTGAATAGTTTCTTTGCCAAGCAAAACTTCGACTGGAAGAAAAATCTTGGTACTCTGTGCACAGACGGAGCACCTGCCATGCTTGGCAACACATTTAGTTTTGCTGCTTTGGTGAAGAAAGAAGCTAGTCAGGTCATCGTGACCCATTGTTTTCTACATCGGCATGCATTGGTGTCAAAGACTCTGCCAGCAATTCTGAAAGAAGTCTTGTCTACTGGCGATAAAGTCGTCAGCTTCATCAGAGCCAGGGCTGTGAACCATCGCGTTTTCAAGAGGTTTTGTCAAGAAATGGGAGCAGAATATGAAGTTCTTCTCTACCACACAGAAGTTCGCTGGCTTTCCAGAGGACAAATCTTGAAGCGCTTGATTGAACTTCGAGCAGAAGTTTCACTTTTTTGAGAGAAAAAGAAAGCCCACTCTCAGAACAAATTGACAGTGAGGAGTTCATTCATGGCTTGGCCTACTTGACGGATATTTTTGGCCATATGAATGATGGGGAATCTTGCGATTGAAAGCCCTGGAGTCACCATTATGAATGCTGCTGAAAGACTGCAAGCTTTTCTGGCCAAGCTGCCACTGTGGAAGAGGAGGTTGGAGGCAGACAACTATGCAAACTTTCCAATGTTAGAGGAAGTGCTTCTGCAGGATGGAATCGAGAGTGACAAGGCCCTGTCAATTTCTCTGCAGGCAGAATTCTGCAGACATCTGGATACTCTGCAGAACTCTTTCAAGGTTACTTCTGCTCAGGTGACCTTAAAGTTGAAACATGGATTCGTAATCCTTTCCTTGCCGACATAGACTGTATCAGTGATGAAGACCTTGCCAAAGATGTCCTCATTGACCTGAAGACAAAGGAAATGTTACGAAATGAATTCAACTCGAAGAGCCTTGGAAAATTCTGGTGTGCGTTGACACAAGCCTACCCTTGTCTGGTAAAGCGAGCTATGGGTGCTCTGATTCCGTTTCCTACTGCATACCTTTGTGAGTCAGGGTTTTCAACACTTGTTTCTGTCAAAACGAAAAGTCGAAATCGATTGGATGTCAAAGATGACATGCGTGTTACCTTGTCAAAGACCACTCCACCGTTTCTTCTTCTTATTCAAGCCAAACAACAACAACCTTCTCATTGAAATGAACTTTTGAGCAGAATTAAAATGTTGTTTTGTTTAATTTGCACAAGATGATTGTATTTCATTTTTGTATGGAGTGGCCATTAATTTTTGCATACAAAAGTGTGAAACATAATTCTTTGTTAAGATTTTTTACTTTATTCATACGTTGTGTATGTCATACACTGTATGAGGCAATGAATTTTCAATAAAATAAAGTATATTCATTGCATGCAAAGTTGTGTTTATGTGTTTATGTGCATTATTCTAGGGAAGGGGTCCATAGCTTTCACCAGATTCTCAAAGGGGTCCGTGACTCAAAAAAGGTTAAGAACCACTGCTCTAGACAGAGCCAGCCAGGGTGCCACCCCAGCCCTAGACATGTGAACCCCATCCCTAGCATAAAGGTCCCTTCTGCCGTAAAAGTTGTTCCAGTTGTCAACGAATGGGATTGATATTGACTTGCAATAACTGATAAGACGGCCGTTGACACCAACTGCCCTTGACAACCATTCATTGCCAATTCTCCTTCTAGGCAGGACAGCACATATGATAGGGATACCCCCCTTCATCCTAATATATTCTATAGCTGTCTTGAACTGAGGCAGATTATGGGTTTGTTCCCATTACCTGACAAGATATTGTCCATCCTGTCAACTATATCTCCCACCCTAGCTCCTGGCAAACAAACCCTCATCCTATTTTTATTTTTACCACAAAAAGATCTATCCAGGTACCGTACCTGGGAATCGCCAACAATTAGGGTTTTAGTACCTTCCTTGTTAGCCTTGTCCCTGACTATGCTAACGTCCAATTCGTTTATCAAAGGACTAAAAGAGTTTACCAACTCTTTGCAGGCCTTGGTGCGTTTTTTCACCAAGCGATACATTAAACTACTGTGTCTCAGGTGAAACGAGATATTAAACCATCTATTCTCAGCCTAAACGTGACATTAAACCACTCTTTCTCAGCCTAAACGAGACATTAAACCACTATCTCTCAGCCCAAACAAGATATTAAACTATTGTCCCTTAGCCCAAACGAGACATTAAACTAATGTCTCTCAGCCTAAACGAGACATTAAGCTACTCTCAGCCCAAACGAGACATTAAACTACCGTCTCTCAGCCCAAACGAGACATTAAACTACTGTCTCTCACCAAGAACTCGTCTTGGCCAAGCATGACGTCTCTCATAGCATTATCCTGAGAAAACTCAACCTTCTCTTGAATTAGGAGTTCTCCGTCAAGATAGACTCTTCCTTCACTACCCGTTGAGTCTCTCACCTGGGGAGGGAGAGAGATATAATTAGTAAAAAGTCTCCCCATATGTTACTTTCACTTGAGGTAGAGAGATAGATAATTAGCACAGTTTCTAAGTTTCTGCCTGTCTCTCTCACCTGGGAAGGTAGAGGGTAATATTGAAAGGGAATACAGGGTAAATTGTTGACTGTAAACAAGTAGATTATTAACTGTAAACAAGTAGATTATAGACTGTAAATAAATATATTATTGACTGTAAACAAGTAGATTATTGACTGTAAACAAGTAGATTATTGACTGTAAACAAGTAGATAATAAACTGTAAACAAATATATTATTGACTATAAACACGTAGATTATTAACTGTAAACAAGTAGATTATAGACTGTAAACAAATATATTATTGACTGTAAACAAGTAGATTATTGACTGTAAACAAGTAGATTATTGACTGTAAACAAATATATTATAGACTGTAAACAAATAGATTATTGACTGTAAACAAGTAGATTATTGACTGTAAACAAGTAGATTATTACTGTAAACAAATAAATTACAGACTGTGAACTAGTAGATTATTGACTGTAAACAAGTAGAATATAGAATGTAAACAAGTAGAATATTTACTGTAAACAAGTTGATTATTGACTGTAAACAAGTAGATTATAGACTGTAAACAAGTTGATTATTGACTGTAAACAAGTAGAATATAGACTGTAAACACGTAGATTATTTACTGTAAAAAAGTAGATTATATACTGTAAACAAGTTGATTATTGACTGTAAACAAGTAGAATGTGGAATTTAAACAAGTAGATTATTTACTGTAAACAAGTAGATTATTGACTGTAAACAAGTTGATTATTGACTGTAAACAAGTAGAATATAGAATGTAAACAAGTAGATTATTGACTGTAAACAAGTAGATTATTTACTGTAAACAAGTAGATTATTGACTGTAAACAAGTTGATTATTGACTGTAAACAAGTAGAATGTGGAATGTAAACAAGTCGATTATTTACTGTAAACAAGTAGATTATTGACTGTAAACAAGTATATTATTGACTGTAAACAAGTAGATTATTTACTGTAAACAAGTAGATTATTTACTGTAAACAAGTAGATTATTGACTGTAAACAAGTAGATTATTGACTGTAAACAAGTAGATTATTTACTGTAAACAAGTAGATTATTGACTGTAAACAAGTAGATTATTGACTGTAAACAAGTAGATTATTGACTGTAAACAAGTAGATTATTGACTGTAAACAAGTAGATTATTGACTGTAAACAAGTAGATTATTTACTGTAAACAAGTAGATTATTGACTGTAAACAAGTAGATTATAGACTGTAAACAAGTAGATTATTGGCTGTAAACAAAGAGATTATAGATTGTAACCAAGTAGATTATTGAATGTAAACAAGTAGATTATGGTGTATTCAAGTAGATAATAAACTGTAAAAAGTAGAATATAGACTGTAAACAAGTAGACTTTAAACAAATAGACTGTAGACAAGTAGATTATGGTGTAAACACGTTAGATCATAGACTGTAATCAAGTAGAATATAGACTGTAAACAGGTAGATTATAGTATAAACAAGTTAGATCATGGACTGGTATACTCACTTGGCAATAATGGTACCACTTGTTGGTCGCCAAGTTGAAGGGTAGAGGATAGAACCTTCCGTAGCCTCCATACTTTGTTCTTATCTTTTCAAAGTACACCTCGAACGATATGGCTGGTGAAGAGAGTGAGGGGAGAGACGGGGGGTAAGGAGGGGGGTGAGAGAGAGGGGGAGGGAAAGGAGGGAGGGTGAGAGATATGGGGAGTAAGGAAGGAAGGAGGTTGAGATAGGGGAGGAGGAAGGGAGGAGGGTGAGATAGGGGAAGTGAGGAAGGAGGGAGAGATATGGGGAGTAAGGAAGGGAGGGAGGGTGAGATAGGGAGGAGGAAGGAGGGAGGTTGAGATAGGGGAAGTGAGGAAGGAGGAGGGTGAGAGATATGGGGAGTAAGGAAGGAGGGAGGGTGAGATAGTGGGGAGGAGGAGGAGGAAGGGAGGGAGGGTGAGATAGGGGAAGAGGGGAGAGGGGGGAGGGGAGGAAAGGGGAGGAGGGTGAGGGGGAGTAAGGAAGGAGGGAGGGTGAGATGGGGAGTGGGTGAGATAGGGAAGGAGGTGGGAGGGAGGGTGAGGGGGAGTGAGGAAAGGAGGAGGTGAGAGATATGGGGAGAGGATGGGAGGAGGGTGAGGGAGGGTGAGAGATAGGGGTGAGGAAGGGAGGGAGGGAGGAAGGAGGGAGGGTGAGAGATAGGGGAGAAGGAAGGAGGGAGGGTGAGAGATAGGGGTGGGAAAGAGGGAAGGTGAGAGATAGGAGGAGGAAGGAGGGAGGGTGAGATGAGGGGAGGGGGGGAGGGAGGGAGGGTGAGAGGTGGGAGGGAAGGGGAGGGTGAGAGATGGGGGTGAGGAAGGAGGGAAGGTGAGAGATAGGGGGTGAGGAAGGAGGGAAGATGAGAGATAGGGGAGTAAGGAAGGAGGGAGGGTGAAATAGGAGGAGGAAGGAGGAGGGTGAGAGATGGGGGGTGAGGAAGGAGGGAGGGTGAGAGGGGGAGAGGAAGGAGGGAGGGTGGATGAGAGGAAGGGAGGGAGGGTGAGATAGGGGAGTGAGGAAGGAGGAGGGTGAGGAGAGGGGAGGAGGAGGAAGGAGGAGGAGGTGAGGAAGGAGGGAGGGAGGAAAGGGGAGGAAGGGAGGAGGTGAGGAGAGGATGGGGAGTGGGAGGGGTGAGAGAGGAGGGGGAGGGAAGGAGAGATATGGGGAGGGAGGAGAGTAGGGGAGGGGGAGAGAGGAGGGAGGGAGAGGAGAGGAGGGTGAGAGGAAGGGGGAGATGAGGGGAGGAGGGGAGGGAGGGTGAGAAGGGGAGTAGGGGAGGGTGAGAAAGGAGGGGAGGGATGAAGGGGAGTGAGGAAGAAGAGATGAGGAGGGAGGGTGAGGGGAAGGAAGAGGGAGGGTGAGATAGGGTGAGGGAGGGAGGGGAGAGAAGAGGAAGGGGGAGGAGGAAGGGGAGAGGGGAGAAAGGGGAGTGAGAAGGGGGAGGGTGAGAGATAGGGGGAGGAAGGAGGAGGGTGAGGAAGGGGGGAGGGTGAGATAGGGAAGGGAGGAGGGTGAGATAGGGGAGGAGGAAGGAGGGAGGGAGAGATGGGGAGGAAGGAGGGAGGGTGAGAAGGGGGAGGAAGGGAGGAGGGTGAGAGATAGGGGGAGGAAGGGGGAGGTGAGAAGGGGGGAGGAGGAAGGGGGGAGGGTGAGAGGGAGTGGGAGGGGTGAGAGAAGGGGAGGAGGAAGGGAGGGAGGGTGAGAGAGGGGTGGGGAGGAGGGGGAGGGGGGGAGGGGTAGTGAAGGAGGAGGAGGGGGAGGAGGGAGGGAGGGGGGGAGGAAGGGAGGAGGATGAGGGGAGGAGAAGGAGGGAGGGAGAAGGAGAGGAAGGGAGGGAGGGTGGGGAAGGAGGCAGGGTGAGGAAGGGGAGGAAGGAGGGAGGGGAGGGTGGAGGGGGGTGAGGAAGGAGGAGAGGGAGTGAGGGAGTGAGGAAGGAGGGAGGATGAGAGAAGGGGTGAGGAAGGGAGGCAGGGTGAGAGAGGGGGGTGAGAAAGGGAGGGTGGGTGAGAGGGGGTGAGGAAGGGAGAGAGGGTGAGAGAGAGGAGGGAGTGAGGAAGGGAGGGAGGATGAGAGAAGGGGAAGTGAGGAAGGGAGAGAAGGTGAGAAAGAAGGGGTTGAGGAAGGGAGGGAGGGGGAGGGGGTGGAGGGTGGGTTAGAGGGGGTGAGGAAGGGAGGGTGAGAGAGAGGAGAAAGAGGAAGCGAGGGTGGGTGAGAGAGAGAAGGGGGAAGTGAGGGAGCAAGGCATGTAGAGAGAGAGAGAGAGAGAGAGAGAGAGAGAGTAACATAAGTATTGGTTACGTAGAGACAATTCCTTAATTATTTTAATGTAAACATTGAGAATTACCTTTATAGGAATTATCTTTCAGCAATTACTATACACTGTCAGCTCAATCCTGACTCTTGCTGACTAACTGACGACAATTACTGGTACTCAAAACACAACTAGTACTCAAAACATAACTTGTACTCGAAACACAATTGGTACTCAAAACACTGCAGATGCTCAAAACACAACTGGTACTCAAAACACAACTGGTACTAAGAGAAAGGGCATTCCAGTTGGAGTTGTTGGATAAGAGCTTTGGGGTCGTGTGACGTCAAATTTGATGTAATTTAAGTGACGAAGTTTGTGCCAAAATTTGACGAACATGATCCGGAAGAGTTTTTCATCCAATTTGAGCAGATTGCCACAACTCTTTGCTGGCCTCATCAGTAGTGGCCCTTGCTGATCCCGTATATCCCTGTGGGCAAAGGGTTGTTCCACTTACTTGTCCCAAACCAGCTTTCAGCAAAACAAGTATTCTTGGGTCAAGGAAGCCATTTTGAAATCCTACCAGTTGACAGCAGAGTCATATTGAGATAAGTTTAGAAATACATTCAAATTGCCCGATCAGTCATTATCGAATATGGTCACACTGTCACTAAGTTGCGCAACAGATGGCTATCGACTAGTGGCGTTATTACCTTTGATGGACTTTGTGAATTGGTTGCACTGGAGCAGTAGGTGACAGGTGTCCCCACAGACGTCCTTATGCACATTAGTGAGAAGGAAGCTACAACTGTTGAGAAAGCTGCCGTTTTGGCGGAAAATTTCAGTCTTATTCATAAACATAAAGTTAATGAGGTTCCAGTCCCAGCAGTGTCTCCAGTTCAAAGTGGTAAGTTCCCGTTTGGAGCAGAGGTAATAAACTCTCGTTTGAGAATGTTGGCAGAGGTTCTGATATCATGGTGGTAATGGATCTAGCGGTGTTATGACTTCTGTGCGTTTTTATTGTAAAAAGACAAATGTCCTAAGCTCAAAGCTACACGAGTCCCATGACAAGCCTGTTGCTAATTTTGCATTTGTCTCAGCAGATGGTGTTGGTATTGATGATGTTGCTGCGGTTTCTGACCCAGTTTGTGTGTATCCTAAGGATTTGTTCCTGCCCTTTCAGTTTCCTGGTTTTGTGTCCATGTACGAGGGTAGTCCTGCTGTCCCTGTGAGTATTTTGAGGGATACTGGTGCTTCACTCAGTATTTTGTTGAAAAGTGCTCTTCCATCTGTGGAAGAGGCTTATACTGGTGAGCATGTTGTGTTGCGTGGCGTTAATGGAACCATTTGCCTTCCTTTGTGTAGAGTATATCTTCGGACGGACCTTTGGTCTCAGCCAGTTACAGTAGGGGTTCGGGAGGTTTTACCAGTGGAGGGAGTAACGTTCTTCTTGGGAAATTATATAGCTGGTAGCCTCGTTGTTCCGGATCCAGTTGTGTTCTACCCCTTTAAGTAATGACACTGCTGTAGACCTTGTGAGTAAGTGTGTTGGGCTATTCCTTTCTGGTGCTGTAACCCGTAGTCAAGCTAAAATGGTAACGTATGGGACAGATGTGAGTGATCAAAGTGATATTTTGCCTGATTATGATTTGAATGGACTGTTTGATGTTAAGCT